CATTTCAAATAAAACAAAGGAAAGGAAAGTTGCAGAATTGCTGCCATGTTCAGTTAAATATACATTTAAAGTTCAGATGTTAGCATTGTGATGACGAGTACTTAAATGTGAGTCTCCTCTACTGGCACCTGTGGCTTGTGAGTACCCTAGTGGCCAAAATTGTGGAAACACTTCTTATTTTTAGAGATTACAGAACTTTATTTCAGTTAATCCAGTTACTTATTTAATCGGCCAGTGTATGATATTTGTAAACAGTCTTTGTACCATATTTGTGTGGTAATTTTTAAAGCGTAATGCCAAAAATGTTGGGTGTTTCCACAATTTTGGCCACTAGTGTAGATCTGTCTATAGATCTGTGTCCTCGTATAAATTCACCAAAATAAACACCTCACATGTATTAGTCAGACATTCCTGCACACATTGTGATGTAAAGGTGTCACTTTGCTGAAAGATCCACCCACAGAGATGTCAGAGATAGGTAATGAAAGTATAGGCCTACAGAACCAAATGGTGCATGTTGTGTTTTCTGAACTGGTCGGCAGATGTTGAACCCAGCCCACAGGGTTAAGCCCCGCCCACAGGGTTAAACCCCGCCCATATGGTTAAGCCCCGCCCACAGGGTTAAACCCCACCCAGATGGTTAAACCCCACCCGTATGGTTAAATCCCACCCAGAAGGTTAAATCCCACCCAGAAGGTTAAACCCCGCCCAGATGGTTAAACCGCACCCGTATGGTTAAACCCCACCCGTATGGTTAAACCCCGCCCAGATGGTTAAACCCCACCCATGTGGTTAAACCCCGCCCAGATGGTTAAACCCCGCCCACAAGGTTAAACCCCGCCCAGATGGTTAAACCACACCCGTATGGTTAAACCCCACCCAGAAGGTTAAACCCCACCCAGAAGGTTAAACCCCGCCCAGATGGTTAAACCCCACCCAGATGGTTAAACCCCGTCCACAGGGTTAAACCCCGCCCAGATGGTTAAACCCCACCCGTATGGTTAAACCCCGCCCAGATGGTTAAACCCCGCCTGTATGGTTAAACCCCACCCAGATGGTTAAACCCCACCCAGAAGGTTAAACCCCGCCCATATGGTTAAACCCCACACGTATGGTTAAACCCCGCCCACATGGTTAAACCCCGCCCAGATGGTTAAACCCCACCCGTGTGGTTAAACCCCGCCCAGAAGGTTAAACCCCGCCCAGATGGTTAAACCCCACCCGTATGGTTAAACGCCACCCAGAAGGTTAAACCCCGCCCAGATGGTTAAATCCCACCCGTATGGTTAAACCCCGCCCAGATGGTTAAACCCCACCCAGATCGTTAAACCCCACCCAGAAGGTTAAACCCCGCCCAGATGGTTAAACCCCGCCCGTATGGTTAAATCCCGCCCACATGTCATCCCCTCATGGTGTAATCTCTTGGCACTTATATTCCGCTACTGAGTTTATCCTCTTATAAATGGATGCTGTCCGGACTCCGTGGTGGAGCTGGTGGGATCTCGTCCCGTTAAGCAGCCGGGCCCAAGCAGTGTTTATCTGTGCTTCTGTTCACGCTTGGCTGGGTGAGGTGTGTGTTTATGACCCATTTGGCCTCAGCCGTTTTTGGTCAGTCTGCCTAGCGGGTGTCCTCAGTGAAAACAAAAACTCTGCTGACCCTGTGGCTGCTTGAGCCATCTGACTCTTCTAGTTTGTGAGTTGGGCGTGAGGGCGGCTCTTAGCATTACCAACAACTGATCTCATTGGGTAGAATGTCTCCTTGTGCTAACTGATTGTGCTCATTGGATAGAGCTTCACCTTGTGCTTAAGTGAAGCCCTTCTTTGGATAGACCCTCTCCTTATGCTTAAGTGAAGCCCTTCTTTGGATAGTGCTTCACCTTATGCTTAAGTGAAGCCCTTCTTTGCATAGAGCTTCACCTTATGCTTAAGAGGAGCCTCATGTCATTTTGAACGATTTTTCTCCTTGGTTTTCCCCGCCTCCTTCTTCTCTGTATCAGGTTGCAGCCTCTTCCTTCAGCAATAATAGCCGCACGACAGATTTCATTAAACCGTTTGATTTACCTTGGTCTCAGTTATAATAACATAAAATGAATGATTGCATTTTAATTAAGGGGAACAGTGACTTCAGAGTTCTGGCCGCCAAAGCATCGAGATGTAGGCGATAAGACACTTTTAGCCCGGGGTGAGTGACTGTTTCAGCACCACTTAGCAAGTCATGAGCGTTGATGACCAGCGACGGCGCTATTTGCCGACATCATGTCAGGAAAGCGTGTTCAGCTTTTCGCCGGGAATTGCCACCGACGTTAACACACAGGTGGGGGGTACAGGAATTTCAGGAATGTCTGCCGGGCCACACAACATGCAAGGAAGGAGCAGAACGTACATCATAAACACAATTTCTTTTGTGCGTGTCTGTGTGTGTGTGTGTGTGCGTGTGTGTGTGTGTGCGTGTCTGTGTGTGTGTGTGTGCGTGTGCGTGTGTGTGTGTGTGTGTAATATATATTACATTGTGGAGACCAAATGTCCCCATGATATTTACATTTACGGCATTCGGCAGACATCCTTAGACAGAGCAACTTACATAGTGCTTAGAAGTCTCATCAGTGAATACAGTCTAATACTGGTTCAATTGAACCTGCCTAAGAATATAATAAAACTCTGCTGGCAAGTACTGTAATACATTTTTTTTTACAGTGTATAATCCTGGAAGTACTAATCCCAGTACTTCCAATAGAGGTGGGTTTTTAGCCGTAGTTTACGGCATCCAATGCTGTTCATACATCCACATAGATGCCAAAACAGAGAAGATTCTAGATGCATGTCTTCCGTGTACCTTGAGAGATGGTGGGACCAGCCGCGGGGTACCAGAGGATCGGAGAGAGCGTGGTGCAGTGCAGGGTGAGATATGTTCTTTTAGGTAGGAGGGTGCAGGTCCATTATTGGCTTTGCAGGCGAGCATCAGTGTTTTGAATCTGATGCAGGCAAAGGAAGCCAGTGGAGGGAGTGGTGTGTGAGACTTTGGGGAGGTGGAACCCTGTGGGCGGGGTTTAACCATCTGGGCGGGGTTTAACTGAGTTGGGCAGCTACATTCTGGATCAGTTGCAGTGGATGAATGGTGCTCTGAGGCAGACCTGCTAGGTGTGAGTTACAGAGGTCTAGCCTCAAGATGACGGTGGCCTGTGTGGAAAGAAATGGACGATCCCTCCTGATGCTGAAAGATGATATGATACAATATGATTAAAACCATTTTTATATTGCGGGGACATTTTTCTGGTTCCCACAAGGGGAAACTGAATTTTATAAAATTTCATTTTCTGTGACTGCAAAAAAAAAAAAAATTGGCAAAAGTCTTATATTTTGTTTAGTTGTTTGCTTACTTATGGTTAAGGATAGGGCTGGGTTAGGGGTGTGTGTGTGTATATGTCTATCTGTCTGTCTGTGTGCATCTTTCAGTAAAGCAATGATACTCGTGACTCTTGCACGTTTCCATGCATATTGTGCACCAGTAGTGAGTCTGCACACCCTCACATACTATATGCCATCGTGTAAGGCGGAGTGGAGAGTTTCTCCTCAGTGCAGTAATTCAGCAGTCAGACAGTAGCCCATGTGTTATGGAAGAGCGCCACCCATTGGTGGCTCCTGGTTCTGCACCTACTCTCACATTGTTCCACATGGCTTCCCACATCCATCACCCAAGTCCTTTAGGGAGAGTAGAGCGTTACATACCCCCCCCCCCGAAAGCATTCCTGGAGCACAGTTATTAGGCACGGGGTAACGGAAAGGGCCGTCTACTAACAATGAAGGCAACAATGGACGGTAACTTCATGGCCGGCCACGCTGATACAGTTTGTACATGGCAACGTGGGAGGATGAAAAAAATGAAAATATGCAATGAAGGTATGCAATGCAGTAGTATCCTGTAGGTAAGGTTACTCACTGGGAATGTGCCATTTGGGGGACAAGATGCATTACAGATAGGAGGAGGGAGGGGCCAGTGGCACAGGTGGGGGACCAGGGACTGTAGATGTACACCCCCATCGGCGAGACCCAGCTCTCCTGTCTGTGGGTTAAATATAGCCCTTAATATGGCCAATTCTTCTCCTCTGGCTTTGGTCAGATGTGCAGCTCTGATCCACATCTCTCCGGCCTTCTCTCGCTCGTTCTCCCTTTTCCTCGGCTCCCTCGCTTTTCGCCCCGGATCTCTCCCTCCACGACATTCCTTAATCCACGCTTTGGGGACATCTGCAGTCGGAATCGCACAGCTGGGATTCATTGGAGTTGAAAGGAGCACCAGCACAGTCCGGTCGGATCTGGTTACTATTGTTTTCATGCGAAGGGGGGGGGGGGGGGGGGGGATCCACTGTCTGCATGTTTTGATTAAATTGCCATTAATCCACATCTGGGGCTCAACGGGACAGGAACGAGTTTATTCTTTAGTTGTTTCACATATAGATGTGTCTGTATACTCATCCAGTCTCATCGAAGGTGAAATGCTGTCAGCCTCGCTGATCCTGCCGGTTTGATGTGCTTTTAAGTAAATGTGACTTAGGATAAAGCAGTGCTGGGCAAACCCAGACCAACATGTGCACATCAACATTTGTGGAATTATTCTTGCTTTGTCTTGTCAGTTCATTGTTTTCCTGTATCCACACTTGAGTGGCATATTTCAGCTCTAAGGGGTAGAAGAGACTTCCTCAGGGTTTACGTGGGAAAATGGGGCAGCATAGCGCCCCCTGCTGTTGGTCCTTCTTTGGCATGGCCCCAGAGGTCACAGTGATCATGGCAGGCCTGGCTAGAAGTCGATGTATGTTGTTGGTTGCGGATGCTGATACACCTTTGCAGAGAGGAAGAGAGTCTCACAGTGTATTTGGATGAATCACACAACAATCACACAACAATCACACACGCCCAGAAAGCCCAGAAACAGACGTGCACTTGATCAGACGGTGAACGGATGTGAGCGTAAACAAGTCTCTGCTTTTTCTCTGTTTTTTTTACAGCCCTGGGGCAGATCATGCTGTACGTGGATGGGATGAACGGGGTCATAGGTCACAACGAGACCGTCCAGTGGCTCTACACACTCGTCGGCTCCAAGGTACGAGTAGGATGCCAGCATGCGTGTCACGCATCCGCTTGCATGGCCTGGCCACTTTCTGTGCTCACATTTTGCATATTGCACATATTTCGTAGCTTATTTATACAGCTGAGTCCTTGCTGGAATAATTTAGGTAAATCAGCCGACTCTCAGACAGAAGAATGGGACCGAAAGATTCCCTGGTCACAGTCCAGCTCCCCGACTCTTGTTGCATATGGCAGCCTGGATCAGACGCTTTTACAGACGCTTTTACAGAAATGCCTGGCGTTCCTCACCATGTGCACCTGCGGACGCCTCCACGTGGTGCCCGGTGAATGCATGTCAGCCCTTTTTATTCTGGATTCTTCCACTGCTCTTAAGCTTGAACAGAAAGAAAGAAAAAAAATACAACAGCAAAGGTGGAGCCTCGTAATGCAACGCAGGCTGTCAGGGGTGATTGCGGCTATAGCATAGAGGCCAAAAAAGATGGGAAAGAAAAAAGGTCACGAGGTAGCGAGTCACTCTGCGGCACCGTGATCGAGTCTCTCTGCGGCACCGTGATCGAGTCTCTCTGCGGCACCGTGATCGAGTCACTCTGCGGCACCGTGATCGAGTCACTCTGCGGCACCGTAATCACAATGCTTTACTTATGCAGCGCTATTGAATGTTCTCCCCCTTGACTTAAGTATGTTGCAATGAGATGATCCTTGAAGTATCTTTCCTATGTATCCCCGCACTCAGAAACATTGCAACAACAGCTACTTCTCTCAGTCTCTCCTCAGAATGACCAGATAAATAGGTTTTTTGTTAAAGAACTTTAGTAAGCGTGTTCAGCAAAAAACACAGACTCTGTTTCTCATCCCTCCACTTATCACTTTCTGAAACATTTGAGCGCAGTCAGCGATAGTGGCATTGCAGTGCATGACTAATGGAGGCATCTCATTGGGTGGGGGACCAAAGCCTTTAGAGTGAGGCATTGTGGGTAAAGTGGCTAGGAGCTGATATGGTCTCCTGAAACACAAATGCAATTCAGACAGAATGTGAGTTCACTTTGATAAAACCCTTTTGTAAGGGGCCTGGAAGAGAGTTGTTGCTTTTGCTGCATTAAAGGAGACTGGTGCCGTCCTCTGGGAGGTCCTGTGATGCCTTTGAAGGGAGACCCACCTCGTACGGGCAGCATGAGTCTGACACGCATACAACCGCACTCCAGCTCTCTCTTCCCCGCAGTGACTGTGATTTAGCACTAATTTTACTTAATGCTGCCACACATCCTCTTTAATGTGTTTCTCTGGGGCTGTATTTGTATCTGTTACGTCTTTAATGTTCTCCCAGAAACAATCTGTCGATACCCAATGAAGAACACACAGATAAAGGTTAATCGCCCTGAAAGTCTTCCTCTACCATTATGCGTAATGTCGTCTGCTGATCCTGAGTCCACGTGATCTCAGTGTCCCCAGAACAGTCCTCGGCATCATTCAGAGATGCTACACTGGGCACTAAACGGGTCATTAAGCAGAGCAGGGGACACATTCAATATAGCTCTGGGTAATATAAGCACCTTGAGAAGATGGAAGATGCTGCTCAAAATCCGGGAGCAGGGGGCATGTTTTCGTTGTGCTGGGTCCCAAAACAAGCAACATCCCCTGAAAGTCCCTCTGGATCCATCTGGGGTATCCCTGATGTGTAGGACGCTAATTACTCGCAGGAATCCAAGTCTGACATTAAAGTGCGTCATCGCTCATTATGCTTGACCTTCCAGATCTACACTTTAAAGGGAAATTGGTTGTGAACATTTCATCATAGTGGATAAGAAAAGTTTACAAACGAATAAAAAAGAAAAAACAGAACATCCCCCCCACACACACACACACACATCCATTTCCTTTGTGAGACAGAAGGTTGTTATCAAAGCCATCCAAGGTATATGGAGATGCCAGTGTGGAACAACTCAAGGGTTCCAGTAGCATCATGTGACCCCCGTCCCCCAATGCCGCGTGTCGGTCAGGTTAATAGGAAGCGCTGCATGGATCCCTGTATGGACGAAACTCCTTTTCCGCTCCCGCTCTGCAGTTCCGCCTGGTGGTGAAGACTGCCCTCAAACTGCTGCTGGTGTTTGTGGAGTACACCGAGTCCAATGCAGCGTTGCTGGGGGAGGCTGTCAGCGCCGTGGACACCAAGCGAGGTAGGGGGGGGGTCTGAAAACAGCCAGACCTTTAAACCGCCAATCATGAACTCACCGTGAACTCACTGTCAGGGTGATGAAGTCAGGTGGGGCTTTATCAAGGTAGAAAGAAAGAAAGAGAGAGAGAGAAAGAAAGAAAGAATGTTGGGTGCTGGTAAAAGTGACAATAATGGTGCGAATGGCGACATGCTGTACGATGGGGATGCACACTGGAGCTGCGACTGTACAGTTACCTGGGCCCTTTACCCTTGAACACCTTGACATCTGTCCATACGGAAGACAGGTATCCTGTTCCTGGGATGGTTGTGTTGCCATCACATTGATAAAGGTTCTGCATGGACGATCGGTCATTAAGAGGGACCCTGACAGCAAGCGTGCAGAAGAGAGGGAGATAGTTTTTAAAAAGTTAATGCATGGTGGAATCTGAAAAATATGCCGAACTGGACCACAGCGGCTATTTTTGGTTGTTTGAAGCTTAGCTTTTAGTAGACACTGCCCCATTAAAGGCCGAGCTACATTCCTGCAGCATTGGTATGGAATTTGACGACAGTTTAAGGGATTATAGATCATGTACAGCTGGACTCCTATTACAAAGAAGCTTGGAAGTGTTTCAGGGTTTTTTGCGCCTCGCCTCCATTGTGAATGCGCGTGCTTATTGGAAAAGACTGCAGTTCGCTCCCCTGGTCAGATTCGGTTACTCGCGGGGATGACGGCCCGTGTTGCGCTCTCTCTGTGGAGATGAGGGCTGGTCTGCCTCCTCTCTCCCCAGGCACTCTCTTCCCGGCATTTTGCGAGGAGAAAAACACTCGATACTTTGGCTCGCAGAGAGCACCAGACAGGTCCTGACCCCAAAAGAGCACACGGTTGGCGCCCCACTGGGGACAGAAGGCCGGTGGGCAGGTGTTGTGGCCGTCACTCTGGGCCGCTGTCTCGCCGGTGCATGTGTCACACGGCGTTCCTCTGGGCCGCTGTCTCGCCGGTGCATGTGTCACACGGCGTTCCTCTGGGTCCGTTGTCCCACCTCCTTGAAAAAAGCAGTAGATCATTCATTGACAGATCAGTTTGAATTCAGGCTGAACACAGAAATAACTCCAGAAATAAACTCCCTCTAAGGCTGCTGAGTACCGAGTTGACCCTTCTTCTTGTATTTATCTATATAGAGCTGATCAATAGGGATGATTGACTAATAACATATTGATCCGCATGATCTGGATGTTGCTTAGGCTGCAAGATGTGGTCAAATGCCATGGAGATCCTGGATGAGAAGGATGGAATGGATACGGAGCTGTTGGTGTTCACCATGACGCTGATCAACAAGGTGAGCATATTCACAGTGTTCACCATGACGCTGATCAACAAGGTGAGCATATTCACAGTGTTCACCATGACGCTGATCAACAAGGTGAGCATATTCACAGTGTTCACCACAGGCCCACTCATTGATCCCTGATGTTCAGACCTCATTTTGATGATGATAATTTTTGTCATGAATGGTGAAACCAGGGAGGTCCATCTTCTCTGAGAACCTTGTGAGAAGAAAACGGCGACTCAGGGTCCTCACACTTCCAGGGTTAAGGTTCTGCTTCAGGCCCCTGGGTCCGTATTTGAGTCTGTTTGTGCTTTCCTTCCCCATGGCAACCTGAAGACATTCAGGTTAGGTGAATTGTCTCCAATTTATATGCAGGGTGTTGTGTTCCCTGTGCTTCCTGGGCTGAGATTCAGACTCGCCATATCATTTGCCGGATGAATGATTATGGCACGTAGCCGGAGAGATAACAGCCTATTGTATATATCAGTGTTTCCCAATCCGGTCCTCAGGGACCCACAGCTAGTCCTCATTTTTGCTCCCTCCAAGCTCCCTGCCAGACAGACCACATTTTTGCTCCCTTCAAGAGAGATGGGAGGGAGCAAAAACATGGATTGTCTGTGCGTCCCCAAGGACTGAATTGGGAAACATTGTTATGCATGTATCAGCTGGACAAATTCAGCAGATGCCTGTCATTTATCTTTCTCTATGGGGACTAAAAGTAACGTAGTGCCACTGGAACCGGACATACAGCTCGCTTCTGGTCCCAGGTGGAAGTGTCACTGAACTTCATAGAACGTTCTTAACTTGAACTGCTTTATTAAAATACCTCATATGCTATGACTATGCATAGCCATGATGTGAAATCACCATTTGCTTGGCTAGGAAATATACTGTTATAGTATATATAAAATAACATTAGTTCAGGTATAGTGTGTCTACTTGTTTTACAGAGCTGGAGCTGTTCATTGTCAGCTTTCCTAGAGGGGCTCTTACTGCCAGGCGACTCTCAGCCCGTCCCAGATTCGCATTCCATTTATCTGATTAAAAAAACATATAAGCGAGCAGTCGTTAGAGCCAATTGTTTATGACTTATGAAAAAATAAAATAAAATGGTCAGATCAATCATTTGGAATTTTTTCCGCTGCTAGTGAATTTAATCCTCAAATGGCAATGTAAAAAAAAAAAAAATCCTGTTCTGATTTTTTTTTTCGGAGTGATTTTATATAGCTAAAACTCGTAAAGTACAATTTCGTTGTGGCAAGCTTAGTATTTTTCTGATATATTAATGTTCGCAGTTTGCTGGGTTTGAAGTCCCGTCTGTTTAAATAAAATGTGCTATAACTGTGTAGAATATGATGGAAAATACGTGATGGCTGAGCCAAATATGAATTATTTGAACAAAATTCTGAAATTATTCGGAAATGCTCCCAGCCTAATCCGATTTCTGCCTTCCTAAGTCAGATTGTCTGTTTCTCTGGCTTTTTTGGGGTCTGTTTTTACAATTTTTTTATTTATAAAAGCAAATGCTTTTATCCATAGCGATTTACTGTTTTTTTTTTGGAAAATGTGGAGTCAAATAGTCCGTGGAACAACTGGGGGTTAAGGGCCCTAAATCATTTAGATATGGTGGGATTTGAACTGCCCACCTTTGGATCACAGGCACAACATCATAACCTGCAGAAGCACATGCTGCCCCTGTTTTACAGCTTTTCTTGGATAAGATGCCTTATTGCCAAAGCCCTCACTGACACTAACAGACAGAGGACGCTGTAAGCTAATGGGCATTTTCTGGTTCTTCTGTTAGATGCTGGCCGGGCTGCCAGACCAGGACTCCTTTTACGACGTGGTGGACTGCCTAGAGGAGCAGAGCATGGAGAGTCTGGCCCAGAGACACCTCAGCCGCAAGGGCACCGACCTGGACCTCGTGGAGCAGTTCAACATCTATGAGGTTGGTGCGCAAATCTCTCCCGAAGACCCAGCGGATGCATTGGAGTTCAATTCAGAAACACCCATCATCTGGTGACAGTCACATGTAAGATGCCTCAGTCTTTGCAAGCATGAACCTAGATGATAATATACGGCGTGGAGCGAAGGGAGGAAGTTGGGGCTGGATGGGGAGATAGGTCAGAGGTCACAGCGGGGTAACCACATCCAGGGAGTGTCAGTGGAGCATGGGTACCCTGGCAGATTCAGGGGGCCAGCACTTTATAGGGGCCCCACCCCGCTCAGCAAAACCAACCGTGGGGGAGCCAAGGTGACATTTTCTCAGAGGGGGGCAGAATTTCTAGCTACGCCCCTAACTGCATGTCTCTCCTGTATGGTGCTCTGAATCGATCGGTCATGCCGCCCCACCCCAGATGACGCTGAGGCACGAGGATGGGGACGATGATGGCCAGCCACCGCCCGCGGGGTGCAAGGACCGACGGCGCGCCAGCCTGGGTGGGAGCTGCGAGAGGCGGGGCCTGGAGAGGCGCCGTAGCCGGAGACACTCTGTCCACAGTGGGCGGGGCCACGCCTCTGCCCCTGCCTCGCCCAGCACCCCACACTGCCACGCCCACACGGGTCACTTCCTGCCGTTTTCTGGACAAAGGGTTCAGGACGTATCAGAGAGGTAAGACAGCAAATGGGCGTTACCACGCACTGTCTCAGTGGAGGTGCTTATGCATCGTTAGAAAACGTGTGATTCTGGGTGCTAATCCAAAGCAGACCATCTAACTTGGAACATCTGAGCCTGATTTAAATACAATCCAGGTGGAACATCCAATTATGGCAGGATTTACTGCCCGGGTGGAGTCCTTCTAATTTGACTTGTATTTCATTTATATAGGGCCGTATATATTTTTAATGCTTCATCTATATAGAGCCGTATATATTTTTAATGCTTCGTCTATATAGGGCCGTATATATTTTTAATGCTATCCTTGTTTTCCTGGCTTTAAAGACTCGGAACAGAAGTGGGTTGGAGTTTAGAACGAGGTGATCGTTTCGTCAGAGGTTTTAGTCCTGTCTGCCCAGTACATCCATCCCAGAAGCAATTATACCTGTCTGACTCTGCAGAACCACAGGCATTGTCCCCCAGATACAGTCATATGGTATCTCCCATCATGTCAGGGAAGCGGCTCCCATTGGCTTAGAGGGGCCAACATGGAGCCTCACCCGGGCAGAGACAGTCACAATGGACAGAGCACGGGGGTGTAGATTTGGGTGTGGATGGTAGAGAAATGGTGTGATTGGTAGGGCGGGGGGTTTGGGAATGTTTTGGCCACTATTGAAACTAAAACTACACCCTTGATGGAGCCAGAAAACTAATGAAAGAAAACTTGCTAATTTCATGGAGTCTTAGGAGAATTTCATGCCTCCCCCCCATATTACACAGCAGCACTCGCTGCTTCTTCACTCACCAAATTCTCTCACACACAGATCTCTGCAGTTTGCTTATACAGTACGTGGGACATCACATCTAGAACTGGTGTTTGCAATGATTAAAATAAATAGTCTTCTATAGTTAAAAAAAAATTGATCAAAATCAAATTAACAGAACTTATATAATTATTTTTACTGGGAGGACTTAAGAAAGATGAAGAAAATCACCCAGTTGTTCTTCACAAATCCATACTGGCCATGGATCCTGAACCAGGATTAAAATATGTTGGTTGCATTGCGTTGTTGCGTAACGACAGCCAAAAGATGACGCGGGGAATGCAGACCCTAACGATTTTCCAAAGACTTGGAAGTCAGGGCTGACAGTTTGATTAATTCCTCTTCCCTGGCTGCTAGTTAGTGTCTTGGACGCGACGTTCCGTGGCAGAAGGATACCAAGGAAACAGTGTGAAAGTAGCCAGTCACGAGCTACGCAGCCTCATGTCTAATGCTTCCACGCGTGTGAAATCCTGACAAGTATGATGAACTGCAAATATGGCGTGTATAAAAGCCAAGTTTTATATTAAAGTTTTACATTTCATAAATTGTATTCTTTGTCGACTGTAACTCCTAATGTCCTGAATTCCTTCCACACATTATGTGCTGAAGAAGTTTCATTTTCCCTCTAATTTAACCTGGGTTTCTGGCCTTTTTGTCATTACATTAAAGAAGCCCACAGGTTTGTTTGCATTTATCCGTGTAGATCAATCTGGTCTCTCTTCACTACACTGATGTTGTGAGTGAGAGGCCCAGAGTAGCACCTCATTTTAAGTGCCGTAGTATGCTTCTCTGAACCGGAGGTTCTCCACGCCTATAGTACATACAAGCCTGAGTATCTGAAGGGCTACAGAGGGATCTTAGTAGTGATGAACAAAATGAAGCTTCATGAACCATTTGCTGTTTTTTTTGATCCCACTAGATGGTGCTCTTGGTGTACTCTGGGGCATGCTTTGTGCTTTTTGTTGTACAGAGCTCCATCAAGTGGGGTCAAAAAAACGCAGCAAATGGTTCATGAAGTGTCATTTTGTCCATCACTAGATCTTAGACGGAACCAACCAAGTCATGAGATGCTGGAGAGGGAAAACAAATATATTCAAAACCAGGATAAAAAGAGAAAAGAAATTAAACATAAAAAGAATGGAGCAGGTGTGGGGGTCTGCTTGGGTTTGCTATGGGCGTGAAAGAACAAAACGCTCCAATTAATACATGTTTTTGAGAAAGTGGAATGACAAAATAATCTCGCCCATGGAAGCCTCAGCCAGACAGTGCGCCATGGACCCTGGGGGGGGGGGTTCCGTGTTCCTTCATGATTTATGATTGAATTTAATAGCATTTACCTGCATCGTTTGGAACTTACCTGTGTCTTGTGATCTGTTATGTGTCTGTGGAACAACCTGTTTTGGGTCGTCCTTCGATTTAACAAAATATAGGCGTACAGGATCTTTGCCTAGACTCAGCAAAGGACATCATAGCTCCCATACTGGCCCAATGACATGTGATATTTGCAATAATGACAAATCACCCCTCTGGGATGCCAGTTCTGTATCCATGGCAGCACGTTACCTTGGATTGCAGCTCCTTCTAATATTTATCTCTTATCTGGAACTCTCCAGAATGCTTTCTTACTATGGGCTTCTAATGAGCTTACTTATAGATTATAGCTTACTTAACAAAGTCTAGTAGGTTAGTTAGGCAAGTTCTGTCTTTTCATAATCTATGATATCTGTTCCCTATAATACCTCTGGCCGGCAAATAGTCAGTTTTACTGAGTACCAACTTCTGTAATGATTTCAGCTGTAATGATTTAGAAATAGAAATTTACCTGCCTATTAAAGATGTATTTAGTTAATCCACATACAAGATAAGCTTATGATCTTGCTGCATTACTTATTTATTTTGCTGTAATAATATCAGTGCAGTGGCTTTAATCATTTTAATATATGTCACATTATTTTTTAGTTTCTCCTGTTAACTTACCGTCTTGCTGTCTTCAGTTTTTCTCCTTAATCTAACTTTGCATTGAAATCTGATCATGAAGACTTTCACAAAAATTACATGCACTTCAATTAGCCACTGTGAGTCATGGTTTTAGCTTCTCTCTTTTGAACATGGTTTCCAGAAAAACCAGAAACTAAAAACTCAACGTTAAGGGGCCTCTTTAGGCTTAGGGTTCCAGTTTCTGATGTAGGGACATGCTAGTCTTACAACACACAACAAATGGCACATGCATTGGGAGGAGAATCAAACATTAACACCACATGAAAAACACCTTTAACTTTGAAATAACTTGATCAGAAACACAGATAAAAAAAGTAAAGGTTAAAAACCAATTATCAGTATGTATTTAACTATAAAGCAGTCAGGAGTTTGATATGTGTCTTCTAAGCAACATGAAGTAACTAACGACTAAAAGAGAGCAGTCAGTCAGACCTATTTTGCAGTTGACGTTAATCTGCTGTATTGCTGTTGTTTTTCACACTTCCCGTTTGTCTCCCATTCATGTTTAAGGTTTATGGGTGTAGCAGAGCAGGAAATTGCAGAATATCTTTTGAGATAATGAAGTGGCTCAAAACATTTTCTATCAGGGATACACATATATATTTTTCTGAGTTTTGACTGTTACTCCAGTGCAGTTTTGTGGATATTGCGGCTGCTCTGTAAGAGAGCATGCACTCACAAAAGACTTTCAGAGATAATTACATGGTATGGCATTACTCTGTCGAATGAAGTGTTTTATTTTAGCAAAGCACTTTAGTGTAATGTGTTATGTATGTTTTCTTATAATTTATTTTATTACTTGCTTCACGTTGTTGTCTCACATTTGTAGGGTTAGGGGTTTGAATTCCGTCTCTGCTCTGTTTCCCCCCCCCGCTCCCCCCCCTGAACTCTCAAAGACATGCAGTTAGGCTAATTGGCATCTCTGTCAGTGCCCTGCAACGGACTGGCATCCCATCCGCATTGCTGTTTGCAGCAAACAAAAATCTTTTACAAACTATTGTTTACTGGTTTGCTTGCTCTTAGGATAAAATGCAGAATTCATTGGTTGAGACGTGAATAATGTTTAGCTAAAGTGTATGGAAGGTCCTGGGAGGATGGGTTGTGAAGCAAGCAGAGAGTCGAACGTGTTTCTACAGACCATGTCATTAAGAGACACTATGCCTGTGGTTTCAATAAACTGGCTGCCACTGTCACCAGAATGGAGTGCTGACCTTGCTCAGTCGCTCGGAGATCCTGCGCAGGATGCCGATGAATTAATTGCATCAAATGAGGTAGATGAATGGGCCTTTTGTGATGACTGGCTGAATAGGTAATGAGTTTGCATGCCACACTGGGTTCGCTTTACAGTCATCTAAAGTATTCACTTCTGAGATCTTTGTCAGGACTCTTCAGGCCCTGAAGCTGCTGTCAGGCCATCAAGTGATACATTAAGTTTGCAACTGCGCAGACGCTCACAATAGTGGTGCGGGATTCGAGCACCATCAACGGAGGGCGACTCATGAATGACTTTAGTGAGGCGCTCAGTCTGCTTTCACTGCTATTGCCCCGTTCTCCTTGGGTGGCCATTCCGTGCTCCTTCTCAGCTACACTTTGTTTTACTCACACGATGTATGTTCAGAGTGCCCTGTGTAAACAGAAAGCTGTTTCTGTGTACTGAAAAGTCTCACTAGTTTGTTCTCACTAATTTATTTTGTGAACAGGCAACTGTTGAAATTCTGGAGGACTGGTTGCCCTAATTTAATCTCAGAAGCACTTTAATCTCAGAAGCACTTTAATCTCAGAAGCACTTGTTTTGCTCTCTGCAAGAGAGAAACACTCCTCGTCATAATCTGCAGCAGGGCTCTTCAAATATGGACCTTGACTCCAACCCGCGGCCTTGCGGTCAGTTGTCTCCCAGGTAATAATTACTGATTGGCCACAGAGGCTTCACACCTGGTTCGTAGGTAAAGGAAGGCTGGAAAATCAGCAGTGCTCAGACCTTGAGGACCGTGATTTGAACAGCCCTGCTCTTCAGGCACAAGCCAGGCTGAATAAAGACATTACCTGTTATGGTTGATTCTACCCAGTACCATAGCGTTTCAGCATTAAACATCATTCAGGTTGTAATGATGAAATCCTCCCTTTGGTGTGATAGATCTTTCCCCATATTCTGGCAGATGCTTGGATTGTATGTCTCCTTATGCCACAGATATG